AGCAAGATTTTCAATATTCCACAGAGGCGTCCTCGCGCCTTTGTAAATAGTCTGGAGCCGATAGAAAAAAATGACTCGGAGTTGCTGATAGGTTATATTAAAAATTGTTCCGAGTGCAAAGGGTTAATAATTTCAGTGCCATTTTTAAAAAATTCGAAGAAATCTTCATGAAGTGTCTTTTTGGTTCGAGACGTCAATACTCCAAAATTCAAGTTTCTAAAACTTCAATATTAACCCTTCGGCCTTGACAAACTTTCTTTTGTATCAGAAATTTATCTACGAAGCATCATCACTTCGAATAAAATGCATTGGACGTAACCATTCAAATTTGACACGAAATCTTTCCGACACGTGATGTTTCAATTTAAAGCAATCGTCAACGTGCATTACAACGCGTTTGCTAGAACAAGTATAATATACAAGAGTTTATGACACACAGTTTTAATCTCTCGGAACTTTCATAAGGAGCAATAAGAAGTCTAGTTTATGTGAATTATTCCAATGTGTGTTAATTGACTCGGGACTGCCTTCGGAAATTTCTTCCGCTGAAACTACTTTTGCTCTTCTTAACGTCGGTATATTATAGCTTTCACTTCAGCCGTCTGCATCGCAATCATAGTATCAAATTATAAAAAGAGGAAGTCCAAGCTGTTGGCTAGATTTAAACACAATGTCTCGGAAGGGACAGTCGAGTACAGGGTTAAAGTATTCTTCCGTAGAATTCGATCGAGTATTGCCAATCAGTACATCGGTATCGATCTGATCACCAATCATCGTTCGTCATTCCGTGCTGCATGTCCGGCGGAAGACTAGAACGAGATTTTCGAAGCGTAAAGCAGCCGTGTCCTCACCGGAAAGCGTTTCACCGGCATTGCAGTCGGTTTGCAGTAACTCAGAAGTCTAAGGACACACCGATATCGTGCACACAGTTCGGCGTTCGGTGTGATGTAACGTGGCAGCGAAGGTTTCCCGTGGAACCCTAATTACGCCAACTGCAATGGTACCAACTGGGCGAAACGTCGGGACGCTTTACGTCCGAGAGGATACTGTTTGCGCCACAAGTCTTGGACAGTATCGACAGCAAGTATATTTACGAGCGTGTGTTTCAAACTGGACTCGGTCGAACGGGAGAGTCTCGCAATACGCCAACTGGCGGAGATCGCGGTTTTGAACGTGTACGAAAAATACAGGTGGTACAGGTGGCACGTGAGACGCGTATTAAGAAACCGAGGAACTGTGCTTCAACACTCGTACACTTATACATTGTCCTTTTTGTACATTATACACGTATAGTATACACTGGCGTTTGCAAAGTATTCGACCACCCTCGTTTCATGATATGCTATACGAAATGTACTCGATCTCTACTTTCTCTTAATGTAATTTTAGTCGATGTATAATATCACTCACGCTCGTATGAATTTTTACTAAAAATACTACATACTAGTACATACTAGTCTTCTAGTTCAGGGCATCTCTGAATGTCACGGATGCATGATTTTTAATGCGACAGAGATTTTGTTCCTGTTTTTCTATACGCGCAGCAATGTTTGAAAAATCGAACAAGAACGATTGCCGACGTAAATGATTAATCGAAAGATCGAGATTTTTTTCGTTTCACGTTCGACGGCGACGTACGTGCATTCCTCTTTTGATATTCAATATTTATTGTAGCTAATAAAATTCTTAAGTTTGTGTACCTTCTAACTGTCAATCCATTACAGATTCTTTTTTAAATAAACTGTCATTTAACATCTTCAATATACATAGCGTTACGTGAACACGAAAATTCACATTGCAGATTCTTTCTTATGAAGACTATCATTTAATATTCCCAGTTTCGGAGCAAATATACATACTATTGTTTCTGAGGCTTTTGTATTTAACATATAACACGTGTGATAGAGATCAAATATAAGTGTGCAAGCGTAGTGAAAGAAAAACACGAGAGATTAATGTATCGTAACTACGTATTAAAATCACACGGATTGAGAATTGGATTTGTTTATTACGCGTCTGACGAATGTATAATTCGCGCGCGTATATACGTACACGTGAAATATCTCTACTAGCTAGTATTTTCTACGTTTCGAAATAATAGCCTGGCGTACATGGAACAGCAGCTTGCCTATTCAGATCAGCGTAACAAATTTCGCACCTGCACACCCCCCGTTCGCGGAATACGTGTCGCGCGCGGAATCGTGTCATCGTGTCACGAAAATTGCGTTGCCGCTCATTATGGCATCCTAAGCAGTGCTCAGCCCTCCCCTCCTCCAATGGTAAAACCGAATGCTCAACTTAGACCTTTACGGCGTACTAATAGCTCCTCCTCAATGACGAGGAAAGTTCTTTCGATGCTCGTTCAGTGTGGCTAATGCGCTCCTTAAATCGACTGGTTCACTCTCTGGCGAAAAACTCCGTCAAAAGGGAGGGCTCCCTCCTTCGAATAATCGGCGAGATTCATTATACATCGGGTAAATGGCCAGTGAAGAATTTTTTTTCTTTTTTTCGGGCAAAAGATCGATTTATGGATCGTTGAAGGAATGTCGTAGCATTTATTAGCTTGCGTCTAACTCGGCCATCTGTCGAAAACTATCGATATATTCCGAGGAAATTTATAAGTTGAGAATCTCAAGAGTAAGGATTTAACGTGATTCAATTTCATTCACTAAAATCTTTATCGGAGATGAAGAATAGTTGGGAGTTCATGCCTAAATCATTTGTAAATTCTGCTAATTCCAATCTTTCATATTTTGATTTCTCAGAAACGAAACATTCACGCCCGGGAATTCCAAATGAAGAAATCATCGTTCCAAACTTTTTTAATTTTTTTATTGGAATTTTCCAACAGTCGAATGATCGACCAGATATTACTAATAAAGCAAGATAAACAACAAGGCGATTAAAATGAATGTCACTTATGAATTATTAAGTCGATAACTCTGCCTGCCGGTTATATAGGATGACTTATTTGCAATCCTTACGTTTTAGATTTAACTTAGCTTTTTTTTCACACGTACATTATGCAGTATTTAAATGCAATTCGTAATCACGTTCAGAGTAACAAACCCGCATAAAGTGCAACTAAGAATTATACTAGAATTATACATATAGAGACG